TGCAGAGCTCCAAGTTTTCCAGGGGGCCATGGCAGAGGCTTCCAGAGGACTCCAGAGCACCCGAGGAAACAGAACTCACCAAGGGGTCCGAGGGGCCGCTTAAGAACCCGACAGGATTACACGGCTGTAAATCCACAAGCACAGGGTACTCATCGCAAGGATTGGCGAAACCCAAAAATTGCGCCTCGCATGAAGCAGCACTGTGCACCAGTCGAGAGAAATCAACGAAGCTCGACGCCAACGCGCGTCTGGCTCGCGACGACGTGTGCTTCACCGGACCTCTGGGAGAAGAATGAGACCTCTGAAAAACTGACGGCCGCGTGGCATTCGGAGGGGTCCAGCGGGCTCGCCGGCAAGCAAAAGATCTTAAACTGCACGCAGAGGTCGAGTGGGCGGCAGTACACACTCTCCAACGAAATCGAAGTCCTCCCGAGGAGGTAGCGGCCTACAAAACAGGGTTCCCAAGTAGTTCCGAGCAAAAGGTGGCGACTGCGCAAGGGGTCCTCCAGGGCTCCTATACGTTCCCAGAAGGCCCCCCAGGCAAGGAGAGGAGTCAAGGCGACCCTCGAAAGACGCCCAAGACCCAAAAATGTGGTCCTGGACCTCGAAGCACGAGGCACCAGAGAGAGAGACAAAGAGAGAGAGAGAGAGAGAGAGAGAGAGCAGAAACCTACACCGTCATCAGCCCGCTGGTGACCTCGACGAGCACGAGCATTTCCTGGTAGTGCTGAGAAGTACGTCACTGGCTCCGAAATTGATGCCCCCCTGCCAATCCTCACGCACTGGCAGGGGGGGAACTTGTTCAGACGGACCCTGAATGATCTTGGCTGCCCTGGCGCGACGAGCCGCTTTGGCGCCTGCGTCCGAGTCACCACCACCACCAGACGAGCTTGCGTCAGGATCTTCCTGCGGATGTCCAGGAGTGCTGGTGCCCTGAGTCTCCGCCCCATCGCCAGGCGCAGCGGCTGCTTCAGGCTCAGCGACCTTCCGCTTCTTGGCAAGGCGTCCGAGGTGCTCCTTGTGCACCTTCTTGATATTGTTGGCTGTCTCCTTCGCCTGTGCGAAAAGCTTCTGCGCCAGCTCTTGGATGCCATCGCGCAGCTGCAAACCCCTCGCCTCGAGCGCCTCTCGGTCGGCCTGGGGCAGCTCGAAGTCCTCGATGCCAACCGGCAACTACGAGGGGTCAATGTCCAGCTGCTGCGAAAAGTGCCGTCCATGATCGAAGCCAAGGAGCAGGGCGCTGACTTGGCCTCGCCATCCTTCTGACGGGGCTGGGTCGTCTGCTCGCGCAGGGCTGCGACCAGGCGGCGATGCTCAGCCTCAGCCACCGCCACCTCCTCAGTGAGCTTGGTGGCCAGGCCCTTCTGCTCAACCATCTGCAGCGACCGCTCCTCGAACCGCCGCGCTGCACCTTGCGTTCGAGGCCGCGAAGCTGTGGGCCATGAAACCTGATGCTGCAGCGCGGGCTCCTTCGCGGCGGGCGGAGGCTTGGCCAGCTCACGGCGCCGCGCTGCTCCCAGCGCATTTACCCGACTTGGCCGGCAGCTCCGCCAGCGCCGCATGCTCTCCACGGGAACTGCACCACCCTTGCCACCTCCGCTGTCGGCCAGAGCGAAGCACCCAGGCGGACCAGAGGACGCGAAGGGCGAGAGGGGACCAGCTCCGCCACCGAGACCATTCGACCACACTCCACCAGGTGTCCCGATAATGGAGTGCGAGCACGGCTGGAACGGGGCCCACTCGGTGCCGCAGTGCCTGCAGCGTCTCCAGCGCATCCCGTTCTTCTTGCAGCCGCAAGTCGCACAGGTCCTCAGGGCGGGCGGGTCTGGGCCTTGGAGACCAGGCACACGCGCAGCCCAAGGTGGAGAACATGAGAGCCACCAGGGTGCAGCGAGCCGACAGGAAGCGCCGACCCCCCTTGCCTTGCTTGCCGACATCTCCAGCGCCAGATTTGCCCCTACCGCCTTCCCCCATGGCTGCGGAATGGCGCGAAAGATTTTGCGGGGAAACGGCCCTCAACCGAAGCTTGATTCTGGAAGGGCAAAGTTCTAACAGCAACCCTGGGGCAGGGTAACCTGCCACAGGGGCACCCCCGCGCCAGGCCCTCGAGGCATCTCGGAGGACCTCAAGCGGCCACTGCCCCATGGTGCCCAAGCAATCCAATCGGAGCAATACCAACCTTTGACACCTAGCAGCTTCAGGCTTTAAAATTTAGCAGCGGCGGTAACACAGCTAATTGTTAACAAGCCATGCACGTTCGCGAGCGCAGGGGGGTGAAGGCGGCAAGCGCGAAGCGCGATTCACATATCCAGTGGCCCGCGAAGCGTGGCAAATAATATTCCACAAACGCATGGCTCTCCGACGCAATCTTCTCAAACCAAAGGGGAGATGCAGAGAGGGGCGGGGCCGAGGTGGGGGGGGGGGGGGAATGACGAAGAAGGAACGAGAATAAACATGATTATGAAGATCATGATGACGGGGGGGGCGGGGCCCAGGAGACAACGATGAAGAGGAAGGCGAGGGGGGGGGGGGGGAAGCACGAAGAGGACGATGGGGGGCCAATGAGACGGAGGAGGGCGGTGCGGAGGAGGACGCTTCTAAGAGTGAGGAGATGGATGCATGTTCCACTATCTTTGTCAAGCACCCCTCTGTCCAACTGCTCCCCCGATCGCGCCAACTCACGGCGGCGCGCGAGCAGCGGCGCAGACGTGCGCGCGAAGGCCCACCCGCGGCCCACCGGCGCAAGCGCCTTTCAACAAAGCCTACGACCGAACACAATTCACATCGACATGCACGCAGTCGGCGTCGACCACATCACCGAGACGAGGCCCTGTAATCAGAGAGCCTTGGATAACCAACCTTGTTTGTGTGTGTGTGTTTCGACATGTGTGTGATTACTCAACTACTCAAGTTACCACATGGGCCTGCAATCGACAAGCGTGCACAACAACTGCGCGCTAAATTATGTGGAATCCAAATGCGCACCTAGAAAACTATAGGACGTGCAGCGTGCTGGGACATCTTTTAGTTCGCCTATGCTATGGTAGTTAGGTGTTTCACGCACTGTTGCCCCAGCCACGCGCACCGTTTCAATGTGGGGGGGCACCGCCACCATCAGCTGCGAAGAGGCCGACGACGGGGCAGTCTGTAATCTGCCCGCCGTTGATCTGGTAACAAAACGCCCAGATATCCCGCAAACAGTTGATTGATCGCAGCACCACGCTGGCCATAAATCTAACAAGAGTAGCTCTTCCTAGGGAACGGGGGATAGTGGCACATCTAAGCGCGACTGTAATTGGACCTCCATGTATGCCCACCGTTGGGGCACAATCCCCTCAGCTGATGCCGCTCCAGCACGCCGTCAGGAAGTGGGCCAGCAGGCCCACCGCCACCACCACCACCACCGGCGCCTCCAGCGGCGGCCCCCCCGCGGCCAGCACCCTTGCCTCTGCCCCTGCCCTTGTCTTTCGCCTTGGCTTTGGGCTCGGGTCTGACCTCCTCGCGCATCTTGGCGTACTCCTTGATGTAGTCAGTCAAGACCTCCTTCGAATATTCGCTTCTCTTCCGGGTCTCCTGCAGCTTGCCGAAGTCGCCCCTGTCCGAGCAGACGAGCTGGTCCTCGAAATCCAAGAGGTCATCGATGGAGTCACATACTCTGGAGTGCATCTTCGTGAGCCTCTTAACCAGGAAATCGAGAATATCACTCTCCGAAGTCGGGTTCAAGATGTTGTTGATCAGGGCGACCAGGGCGCCGAAGAGGCCAGCGCCTGGATCCACCCCGACCCGAAGGTGAGCCGCCAGCCTTTGCAACAAAGGCAGTCTCACGCTATTGAACGCAACTCTGGCCAGCGCCTTGAGGATGTGCTCGAAGCTGTGGCCGTCGACCTTGCGAAGTCCAATGCGTCCACGGCCGGTTGCGCCAGCATCGCCGCCGAAGCCGCAACTCCAGCGCAAAGTCAATGGCGATTGCACCGTGATGCAACAGCCCTCCCAATCATCAAGGCTGACGACGGCCTGGTACAAGTCTAGAGGATCAGCAGGTCGCACGGGGGCAAAAACTGCGCCCCCAGTCGGAATGGCCATCTCCTTGAAGGGGAACATGACCACGACGGAGTCGGGCATGCACCCGCACGGGAGCATTGGCACCGGGGCCGCGTCACCTGCTTGCTTCCTCCTTGCCATGACCACCGCGCCGTCGCGCATGAGGCCGCCGAGCCAACGGTGCTGCATCACGTTCATCTTTCCCGACCGAAGGGCGAAGTCGATGAGAACTAAATCGCGGCGAGGCACAGACCACGCATCGCCCCTAGGAGACGGCCAGGAGGTCTTCTGCTTGTGCGAGATGATATTGAGCTCCTTCGGCGTCTCCTTGGCCTTGGCCTTGAAACAGCCCTCTGGTGCAGACATGTCCCTGGGCACCGGTTGAAACGAAGGCTGTGCTTCAATAAATTTGTGGCGAGTCGAAAGAACCTTGGATTTCACCGGTCCTCTCCAGGCTCGCTGGGCACTGCCTTGGCGGTTCTCGTATTTCGGCATATTCTTCTGCACGTTGAACGCGTCCTCGTCGACCTGGCTCGCGAGAAGTTTGGTGTGTAATTTCCTTGAGAAGTCGACGACGTCCTGAGTGATGATGAAGTCGGCCTCCTTCAACACCCTGTACACCTGCTCCTCGGACACGCGCTTGAAGACGCGGCGGTCGACGACAGCCTGGAGGTCGGGCGCGCGCTCCACGACGTTGAGGCACTCGTCGCACTGGCCGCGGCACCTGCAGATATCAGCGACAGCGCCCTTGGCGTCGTCGCCACCGCGCGTCGACAGCGCGGACCTTGAAGAAGGTCCCAACAACAGCCACCCCATCCTCATCGAGCGATAGTACGCGGTGCCCATGTTCAAGTGGAAGAGGGTGAAGGCCAAGTAGTCCTCGCCCCCGTCGCAATCCTCAGGGTCAAAGGAATTCAGCTCGGCCACGGTCGTCGGGACGTGAAAGCCGCTCTCCTTCATCACTCGCTCATTGCAAAGGTCGGCCCCGCAAACATGGCATCGATGAAGTTTGAGCGGAGCTCACTCACGATCCAGTCCGCAGAAGCGAAGCAAGACCTCAGCTCAGCGTTCTGCTTGCTGTGCCACTTGTCCCAATGCGGGGTGCCCTGGCATATGATGCGGTCCTTGCGCTTGCGCGGCGGGTCGAGCATGCTGATGCCAGCGATGGCCATCTGGTTGAGGCGAGCCCTAGCGAAGTCCAGCTCGACTTTGTCCGTGTTCTTCTTAACGTTGGTCGTCTTCTCGTCGGCAGGCGCGTCCAGTCTCTTCAAGGCCGCCTTGCTGCTCAGCAGGTCGAGCTCGAGGCGCGCGGTGAGGACGCAGAACCTCTTGGCATTGTAACCGTTAAGCTCCTTCCTGATGCGGCGAATGATTTCCAGGAACCTGCCCATGATCGCTTTGCCTCCACGTTTTGCCAAGGGGTTGCTCTCTGGAATGGCGTTCCATAGTAGCTGACGGCAGTCCTCATTACCACGGATGTCCTTCGCCGACGAGTCCGCCAACATGTCGTTCACCATGTCCTGGAACAGCACGTTCTTGCCAGGGGGGCCGGTCTCGAACGCGTCCTGGAGGCATTGCTGCATGCGCTTGAAGCGGGTGTCTTCCGACCAGGGCCCGTTCGCGAAGTTGATGCGGACGACGTCGGACAGCAAGTGGTCGAACAACCCAGCGAACTTGAGTCTGTTGCGCATGTCGTCGCGAACCCCGTGCGAGGGGTCAGGGATCACGTCGACGCAGCCTCCGCTGCACCATTCAGAAATGAACTGGCTACGCCGACCAGCCCGAACAACACAAACACATGCCGTCGTTTCGCCCGCCAGGGTGAGGGGGGAATGCTAGGTGTGGTACTAACTTAGGTGTGCGCTTTTGTTTGCGTGAGGTGCCCCCCCCCTTCCCCCGCCCCCTTGCCCAATCACCCCTGACGACGGCTTGTGTTCAGTTGCTCAACGTGTGTTCCGAACAACGCGGCGGGCCTCGCAACTGGTGAATCCAGAAGCTCAGGGCGCTCACTCCGCCCGATCCGAGGTCGCAGGCGGCCGAGATCCTAGGCCACTTCAGCGCTGGCTCGCGCATGGAGAGGTCCTCTGGCTGGCTGTGCGACCGCGGGCCGCCGTCAACGCCGAAGGACTTGACCTGGTTGTCGAGAGCAGCGAGCCACTGGAAGGCGGACTTCCGGTGAACTTTCTTCGGCTTGAACGTGGCGGACTCGTCTAGCTTCCTCTTCAAACGCGCGCGCTGCCGATCCCTCTGGGCGGGCGCCGCATCGCCGCTGGCGTCCGACAGGACGCTCGCCATGGTGCTGTGGCCTGTGAAGCCGGCGATGTCCTCAAGGAGCTGGGTGCGTTGGCTTGCGCTAGCCCCCCCCCCCCCAGAGAAGCTCCCCTCCTCCTCCTCCTCCTCCTCCTCCTCCTCCTCCTCCTCCCCCCCCTCCTCCCTCCTCCTCGTCGTCCTCCCCCCCCCTCCCGCCCCCCCGCCCCGTCGCCCTCCCCCCCCCATCCACCTCGGCGCAGCCAGCGAGACCTAGAAGAAAATTCCCGATGGGGGCTGCGGGGAAACCCGAGGGCTGGGCGGTTACAACCATTTGATGGCATGGTCAGGCGCATGCCATCAAACGGTTGTAACCGCCCAGCCCTCGGACCTTCCCCACCCCCAAACGCTTGGGGAGCGGAGGAAGCACATAGGCAGCAGACACCTTGATCGCCCCGTTGGTCCTGCGTGGGGGCCCACCAGGCGACCCCATCTGGGGTCGCGATGGCGGCGTTCTGCAGCCCCATGCCCCTCGCGCGAGACTTGTCGGTGGCGACGCTCAAGAACTGCACCCCGCATTGATCTACGCGGGCTTTCCAACCGAGCAAATGCAATGCATTCTCATGGCCGACTTGAGCTTCCGAGGTATTGCAGTCGTCGGGGCTCGAGGCGTCGAAGTCTTCGAACCGCTCTTCGTGGTCCAGGCTCTTACTGACGGCATCCTCGACGTACTCGCCTACACTCCAGCAGATCTGGGGGCACGTGCTCATACAATGGACCGACGGCGCGATGGCCCCCAAGAACTTCACGATGTGGGTGTCCTGGCCGTTAATATCCTCCTTCTCCAAATACGTGCAGAAGCGGACCGCCTCGACGCCGTCGGCCTTCATGCGGCTCTTCTGGAAGATGCTCGAGTCGAGGCAGTCGTCAATCTTCACGTAGAACGGGCCTCGGTCGCCAATGATCTGACCGAAGGGGTATCGCCTGACGTTCTTGAATTAGAGCGGCATCGTAGATCTCCCACGCGCCGCTATCTTCAGCACTGTCTCGATCACCAGCTTGGCAGAGGCCTGGTCCTTCTCCTGCGAGAAGCCACCCTGCTGCTGCGAACAGAATGCCCAGCGGCAACACATCGCAAACAAGGCCTCAGTCGAGACAGACGGCCACTTCAATACTCTCGTAGGGTCGTCCCCATGGTTCTTCCCGTCGGGCTCAGCCTGCGCGAACTTCTCGACGCTCGTGATGCCGAGCTTCTTCAAATACTTTTCCCACGAAGGCCGGCACCTCGCTGCCCAGACACTGCCGCTGGCAGTAGTTCGACCCAAGTCCAGAATATTGAACACGTCCTTCACTACGAAATAAGAGATTGCGAACTTCCGTTTAACTCCAAACCGAAAGACAATCAGTGTGATTAGTGCACCTCCGGCACCTGTCTTCATCCGAACGACGTGGGAGGTGTGGCGCGGCACGGCTTCTGATAATGAGTATACCCCGAAATAATCGTTGGCTTCCTTGCACATCAATACTTTCGCATTGGTTGCCTTGGTCGTGTACTCGAGCGAAGTGAATCCAAGCGCACGGTTGACTTCCCAGGCGCGCCCATCACCGTCGACGCTCTCGGGCAACACCTCGAATATATTCGCGGGGGCGCCGTCCAACCCAAACTCGACGCCGAAGGTGCTGAGATAATGGGTCTGCTCCAACTTCACCCATTCGCACGTCGTCGAGAGGGCAACGAACCATCGGCCCTCGACGCGATCCCGGAACACGTTGGGCGCCCCCTCCAAGGCGCTGAGCTCGTAGCCTGCCCGCTTGAGGCCCTGAGGTGGGTGCGCGGCGTCGCTCGTAGTCGTGGCTGGCGCGACGTCGTCGAGAGGCGGGCCAGCAGGTGGTGGAAGCGGTGGCGCCACTGGCACTGGCACAAGTGCGAGTTGAAGGTGGTCGAGGTCAAGGACGTCTGGTGGAGCAGCATCTCCAGACCCAGCAGCCTCGCCCATGTGGAAGGGCTTCTCCTCGTCGGGCAGGTCGTTCACTCGCTGTGCTGCGTCAACGCCAGCTCCATCTCCTCGATCGTGAACTGCGCCCCCTTGATGTTGAGGGCCTGCCCTGTCTCAATGCGCGCGGGAAGGCGATCCTTGTCAGCGGGGTGCTTCTTGAGGCAAGCGACGAGCTTCGCCGCCCGAAACTATGGTTGTTACTGGCGGCGGCATCGGCACGCTGGCATCTGTGCGCCGTGCGAAAGAAGTTTGCACAGATAGCTTGGGCCAAAACGGCTACGGTGGGAGTGGGAGCGATGGCCGCTGGCATTCACATGGGGACGCATCTGATCAACACGGGGGCCCGAGGCCGATGCCACCTTCCCCGCCAGGAGGGCGAACGGCATGACCACGAGCAGGGGTGACCACCAAGGGTGTTTGTTCCAGCCCCTTGCCCGTCGGCCCCGAAAGGACCCCAACGAGCCCCCGGGCCAACCTGCGATACACCAGCCTGCAGGTAACCCCGACGCCTCTGCAGCCTTGCGCACATGGCATTCTGGGTTTACTACATCACTAAGTAACTACACGATTACGCCCATCTGATTCGCTACGTCCCCAAGCGCTGTGACAGATAACCCGCCCTTCCTCCTCCTCCCCCCCTCCCCAGCCGCCCCCCCCCCCCCACCTGTCCCCCAACTCCTCGCGCTGCCCCACCGCGCCCCCGCACCTGCCCCCCGCGCAAAAAAATGTCTGAATGACCAAACCCCCAAATCCTCTCCTCCATATCCTTCCTCCCACCTCCCGTCCGACCACCCAGCCTCCACGCGCACTGCTCACCCCTGGCTGCGCCGCGCTGCGCATCGACGCAGCGATGCGGAGTAGGAGAAGAATGACGAGGAGTAGGAGTAGGACGACGGAGAGATGGATAAGGAGTAGGAGGAGGACGAGGAGGCGACGGCGAGGGGGATCAGGAGTGGGAGGACGACGACGCGACTGCTAGAGATGGACAACACATGTTCTCGAGAAAGGATGGCGGGACCCAGAAGCTCTAACCACTCGGAGTGTTCAGCACGAGCTCAACATCTACAAAAAACTGTCGCGCTGCAACGTAAAGCTTGCCGCATCGCTATGGTCTCGCTTTGGCGCGAGCTGCTCGCGACGGCAGTCCAGCCGACGAGACAATGGAGGTAGTTAGCGGCCGCGCTGTGCACCAGCGCAGTGCGAGGGCCATGGCGCGGAGAAGGCCGAGCGAGGGCGCGCGCTGGAACCCCGCGCGCGCTGCGCCGTCGAGCTCGCAGCCTAGAGCTACGCAACATAGCCAACGCAACAAAGCTGGCTGCTACAACTGCGTGCCCGACCTCACGATGGAGTATCATCCTTCTTGTCATATGACAGCATGCGGATGGGCTCGGACGACTTGGTGGCGAGGCGCTTCCTTCTGCAGGGCCTCCTCCCCCCTGCGCTTCTCGAGGGGGTCCAAACTCACAAGAGATGGCCCATTCGTGAGCGCCATAACTTGTTGCTGCCTGGCCGTGATCTCGGCAGCAGCACCAGCGCACAGGTCGGTCAGCATCTTGCCCTTCTTGTCGATGCGATGCTTGTTCGGCCCGTGCTGGAGAGAGAACCAGCCCTTGCAAGGGTACCTGGCCTTTTCGAGAACCCATCCAGCCTCCTCAGCGCAGAAGGGGTTGTCCAGCTTGTACTCGTAGGTGACCCACGCGCCCTCCGGAGGGGAGGCGGTGTCGCCGCTGATGAACCTCACGGACGCCAAGAACTCTTTTCCCCAATTGGGCGCATAGAGAGGACGACGATCCCAATCGATCACGCCAGTGTCGGGTCTCACGCAATCCTTGACCCAAGAACCGAAGTCGATGCCTATTTGAGCGTTCCTCCGGACGTTCATTAGTGTCCAAGTGCTCATGTCCCCCATATCGTCCGTAAATATGTCAGACATTTTGTATTGACACGCAAATGAGAAGATATCCTTGATCGCGTACGGGTCAGCATCATCGATGAGATCAAGAAGGGCCTCCGATGGTCCACCCGGTAGCGCCGCCAGCTGCGCCGCTTTCACCCTAGGATGGACTTTGCCATCAGATTTCCCAGCCCAACTCAGATCAACTTTGTCAGGGGAGTCCGCAGAGCCCGAACCGCAACTATTATTGGTCGCGGTTTTGCCCACGATGATGGGTGGTCGCGGTTATTGGTCGCGGTTATTGGTCGCGGTTTTGCCCATTATTGGTCGCGGTGGTCGCAACTCTGGTGCCTGTTGTGGGTTCTTCATCATATAGTCGATGACGCGGATGGTAGCGCTTCGAAACCTGACCCTCGAAATCGTCTCATTGTTGCCCCTTATCGGCTTCATCTTGGGAACCGACAAAGCAAACGTAAAGAACGTCTCCCCATCCTTAGTCTCGACACCACGTGTCCAAAGGCCGCCCATGATATCAAGTGTTCAGAGAGACACGTGGCAAGCTGGACAAAAACACAACAAGAAGCTTGAGCCAAAATGGTTACGGATACGATGGAAGAGGAGTGGCGACGCACCGCGAATTCCACGCCCCGCAATTATTCAATTCCTACATGGGGCATTTTTGAGTAAAGGAAACGACCAGAGACGTCCGCCCCTTTCTGGCACCAAAGACACATGTTTCCCGCAGACAAAGGACGGCCAATACATCAGAGTATGTCATCGCGCTACGTAAAGTCAGCATGCGTTGGCATGCGCTGGAATCCGAGGTCTCGCGACGAACGCACGTTTGACCGTAGGGGGAGGCACGACTACACAATATCACAATTGTTGTTTTTATTCTTCATGTTTGCAAACCGTGCTTCCGCCTTAAGAACAGTTGCGCTAAATAAGCTATATCCCCTGAATATACCACTATCGTGTGAATATGACTGTTCTCGTTGTGTGACTATGGTGGCGTGGCTATATGTGATTACTGCGTGCGCGCGTGGAGTCGGCTCTGGGGCCATGCGAACGGCCCCACGGTTATGGTTACAAGTTTTCGTCTTGTGATTGATGACTCGCAGGCGCAAAATGCTGTTTTGAATCGTTTTACCTGCAACGCTCAATGGCTTGAGCGCAAAACGGCTGTCCTCAACCCCGAAGAAACCTCTTTTCCCAAGTCGGAACCGCTCCATTGCTTTCCTCCGTTCGGCATGGCTCATGTTGAACCATCGGCTTGGGCATATTCCCGGGTCGGTGGAACTCGGTAATTTCTCAAGCCATTGAGCGCCATATCGTGGGCCTGGGTCAGCGACCCAGACTCTTGTGACATATGCGTAGTGTGGATCGCAACGCAACGCGACTCTAATGCTGCACGTCTTCCGTCTGCCTTTCAAGGGCAACTTCTCAGTAAGTTCATCCTTACCGAGCCGGGCAACAATACGCCGGTCTTCTGAATATTCCATAGTGTCTAAGTTCTGTGCGGTTCGGGCGAGGAGTTGCCCCGGCCCAGGCGCTCTCGACCTTGGCTGTTCCATCGGGAAGTTAGACGAACGATCCAACCTATATTCTAAATGAGCGAGGCCGAGCTGTTGTTTCGCATCATCATCTGGCGTCGAGTCTCGCTGGGGACCCCGACCGTCAGGCACCACTGGCACGTCACCCACGCTGGCTCCCCCCGGACCATCGTCATCGGAGTCATCATCATCATTCGGTGGCGTTGCGGCCTCGCCTCGTGCTGGAGGAGGCGGCATCGGCGCGCCTGGATCCCAGTCACTAAACGGCTGCGCCGTCTGTGAACCGAATCGGGTCCCCTGACCGGCTGGGCCGTCAGGAACCGCCTGGGGGAATAACGACGCGTTTAACCTTCGTTCGTGCTATCTCATATGCTTCGCGCATGGGGAACTTCAGTTCTTGGTCTTGCGCAGCGCCGTCCAAAATATTGCCGTCGACTTGATCGGACATTTCAATGATCGGGGGCTTGCCTGCTGGCGCCCCCCAAATGTCCATGTTAAGTCCGTCAAATTGTCCTAGCGGTGTCACGTAGCTTTCCGGCCCCGCCGCGCCCCCCGCTGCACGTACATATCCGAAGTAATTAATCCGAGGGGAATCCCCGTGACCATCGCCCCGCCTGTCTTGGCGATCCGAAATCGAGGTTCAGGAGGAGGAGCGAACCGAGCAAAGAGAGCCAAGCGGAAGAAGAAGAGCTGCAAACTCGCGTCCGAATCTGCGCTTGCATGACAATTCACCTTCGTCAGGGATGCTTGCGTTATTGCAAAGAAGTATCGGGCAGCATGCGTCCAAAAAGGCGGGGGAAGGCTGGCCTGCATTAAAGGGCTCGAGGCTTCATTTGAACAATTCCGTTGGATCGTGCAGCGACAGCCGTAAGCTTCTTGCTGCCAGGGATGGTAGGGCCATGTGCAATCTTCAACTCGATGCACGCGAGTGCGAGTTCTCTCGCACAGTCAAGTACAACAATATTCGAACTTTTCTTCTGGAGCTCTGAGGTTAATCAGAAAGTTACACACGTGAATCGCAGATTTGTCGTGCACACCCTGTGCTGCTATGAAATATGTTGCCCGGTCGCGAAAAATCACACACGCGGTCTCGTCGTGGAGCCCCCGGGATAGGTCATCCATCGCAAGCCAGTGATCCATAGTGGTCAGGTGTCCGAGCGTCGTGGGATTCGCGCGTGGCCTCGGCACCCAGCCCCTTATTATGCGCTTTCCTTTGTTGGCGCCGTATAGCCTGTGCCCAGTTAGACACCGAGTTAAGGGGGTTCTTAGGAGTGCGAAAAAGCAAGTGCGAGAGGGACGCTGCGATCTTTTTGAGTCGCTCAGCCGCCGAGACTGGCGCCTCAACCTCAAGGCCATCTGGGTCGATGTCGGGCGGTACGTCGATGTCAACGAAGTCAACCCCACCCGAACCCTCATCTGCATCCGCGTTAGGGCCAGGTGCAGCGGTCACCGTGATGGAATCCAGCCCGCGATCCGTGTCGCAGGGCAAAACTCCAGAGACCCCATGCCAACATAGGCTCTCGAACTT